TCAAATAGATCTGTGATTTGATTGATAAAAAGGTTCTCTCCAATGATTCAGATTGCACCATGTCTATGCCTATCCATTGTTTGTAACTCTTGTTCACTTCTTCCCCTACGATCACCACAGGTATTCACCCAACATGCTGGAGGCATTCCTTACTTTCACTAGACATTAATGATGGTACCAACAGAGCACTCTAGCTTTCTACCTGTCATTCCCTGGCCATGCAACCATGTTATAACTCAGAGAACACCTTAGTCAGCAAACATATAACTTGTATGTCAAATGGAGAGAGATGACTGCTCAAGGAAGCATCAGCTTATAATACAAATTTATTTGTAAATCTTACAGTGAAGGATGCTGGACAATTACAAGCAAGATCATCTCAAAGCAGAGAAAAGCAATGGAAGATAAAACCAATTTAAAGAAAGCTTGGTAAGACAGCTAACAAAGCAAAGTCATCCTAAGGGTACGAAGGACAAAAATGAAAGGAAGACAATGAACAGAAAAAAAAAATTGAAAAAAATTGAAACAACAAACTCTTTTCTCCATAAAGGACAATGGAATCACTACTTTTGGACATACCAGTCCCAGATACACTTAGAGGAAAAGATAGAAAAGGACTGTAGAGAACAAAAATGAGAAAGCAGATGGATTAGATGAAGAATATATACAGAAGAAATCCATGTTGTAGGTGACAATTATAAGAATACTGAAGGACTGAAGATACTAGTGGTTTGGGGAATGATTAAGCAAAATTTAGTACATGAACGTAACGGAATATTATTGTGTCAAAAGATACATGAGGAATTCAGAGAAACTTTTGAAGACTAGCATGAATTTGTACAGAGTGAGTTAGACAAAACCAGGAAAACAATGCCTAGGTTAACTACAAAAATGTAAATAAAAAGAATAAAAGGAAATTCAGCACTGTAACTATAATGACCAATCTTTGCTGTAGCAAAGAATCAAGGAATTGCACCTCAATTTTGTTGAAAAGATGGAGGACTAAGGATATGAAACACTGCATATATACTCATTAAATATATTAGTAGTTTTGACTATTTTTTCACCACCTTGTTATTATATGTTACTGGATAAGGGAAGGGGAGAAGAATATATTAATAAATTACTTCGATGTAAAAACAAAAGGCATCAATTAGACTTAGGTAATTAAATTAAATATTTACTATGTGCCTTATCCCTAGTAGATATTTAATATTCTTTGAAATGGAAAAAATGAACTAGTCAATCCCTATTAAACAAGCTGTTAATTGGCTATTATAGCTGAGTTCTTAACTTGTTTTCCTATGTGCACCTAGATCTCTTATCCTTCTTCCCATAGGACTCTCTCAAAATATCTTGATGGCTATTTCATAAGACTAATATCATAGGCAGCACAGGGTGTGAGATGGGAAGCTGGCCTCAAAGCCAGAAGACCTGGGTTCAAGTCCTGCCTCAGAAACATAATGGTAGTGTAACTCTGGGCAAGTTACTTACCCTATTAGTGTGAGAGGGGCAGAGCCAAGATGGTGGAGTGAAAGCAGTGACTTGCTTGAGCTCTCCCCTAAACCCCTCCAAATACTCATAAAAAAAGGCTCTAAACAAATTCTGAAGCAGCAGAACCCACAAAAAGACAGAGTGAAACAAATTTCCAGCTCAAGACAACCTGGATGATTGATCAGAAAGGTGTATCGTGCCGGGCTGGGAGCGCAGTGCAGTGTGGCGCAGGCCGCAGCAAACCTGGAACAGGCCTCAGAGGACTGAATTGTGGGCAGTTTTTGGCCCACAGACTGAGGGGGAATCCAGTGGCTGATCAGAGAGGGACTGCAGGGATCTCTTTGCCAGTGCTGAGGCAGGAATCTCTTGCTTTGCCCATGTGTGGATCTGGGTCACAGTTCTGGGCGGTGGTGCTGGGGTGAGGAGGAGCGCTGGGGTGAGGAGGAGCACTGGTATGGTGGAGCTTGGAGTGGCTGTGGAGAGGAACCCCTCCTCACAGTTATAGGACAGAAAGGAATACTTGTGGTCACGGGCCAGGAAAGGAGGAAACACCTCGCCCCTTATCATACCACCTTGGAAGAACTGAAAATTTACAGGTCTCTTCAAGTATCTCTGAAAACAGCTACACAAACCCCTGAAGCTTGGGACAGTACACTTTCCACATTGGAAGCAGACTCTTACCTTCACAAGGAGTTTAAAACTCAAGTAATTGGCTGGGATCATGAGCAAGCAGTGCAAAAAAAGTCAGACTATATTATCTTACTTTGGTGAAAAAGAAGATCAAAATATACAACGAGAAGAAGACAACAAAGTCAAAGCTTCTACATCCAAAGCCTCCAAGAAAAATATGAATCAGTCCCAGGCCTTGGAAGAGCTCAAAAGGGATTTTGAGAAGCAAGTAAGGGAAGTAGAGGAAAAACTGGGAAGAGAAATGAGAGTGATGCAAGAAAATCATGAAAAACAAGTCAACAGCTTGCTAAAAGAGACCCAAAAAAATACTGAAGACAATAACACTTTAAAAAATAGCCTAACCCAAATGGCAAAAGAGGTCCAAAAAGCCAATGAGGAGAAAAATGCCCTAAAAAGAAAAATTGGCCAAATGGAAAAGGAAGTCCAAAAGATTACTGAAGAAAATACTTCCTTAAAAATTAGAATAGAGCAATTGGAAGCTAGTGACTTTATGAGAAATCAAGACACTGTAAAACAAATCCAAAAGAATGAAAAATTAGAAAACAATGTGAAATATCTCATTGGAAAAACAACTGACCTGGAAAATAGATCCAGGAGAGAGAATTTAAAAATTATTGGACTATCTGAAAGCCATGATCAAAAAAAGAGCCTAGACATCATCTTTCAAGAAATTATCAAGGAAAACTGCCCTGATATTAGAACCAGAGGGCAAAATAGAAATTGAAAGAATCCACAGATCTCCTCCTGAAAGAGATCCCCAAAGGAAAACTCCTAGGAATATTGTAGCCAAATTCCAGAGTTCCCAGGTCAAGGAGAAAATATTACAAGCTGCCAGAAGGAAACAATTCAAGTACTGTGGAAACACAATCAGGATAACACAAGATTTAGCAGCTTCTACATTAAAGGACCCAGGGCATGGAATATAATATTCCAGAGGGCAAAGGAGATAGGATTACAACCAAGAATCACCTACCCAGCAAAACTGAGTATAATCCTTCAGGGGAAAAAATGGTCATTCAGTGAAATAGAGGACTTTCAAGCATTCCTGATGAAAAGACCAGAGCTAAACAGAAAATTTGACTTTCAAATACAGGACTCCAGTGGAACATGAAGAGGTAAACAGGAAAGAGAAATCATAAGAGACTTATTAAGATTGAACTGTTTACATTCCTGCATGGAAAGATGATATTTGTAACTCATGAACTTTGTCAGTATTAGGGTAGTTGAGGAAAAAAATTGTATGTATGTATATATAGATAGATAGAGGGCACAGGGTGAGTTGAAGATTAAAGGGTCATATCTGGAGAATAAAATTAAGGGATGAGAGAGGATGATACTCGGAGAAGAAAGGGAGAGGTAGAATGGGGTAAATTATCTCACAAAAAAAACAGAAAAGAAAAGTCTCTCACAGTGGAGGGGAAACAGGGGAAGGTGAGAGGGAATGAGGGAATCTTATTCTCATAGGATTTGGCTTAAGGAGAATAACATACACATTCAATTGGGTATGGAAATCTGTCTTACCCTACAGGAAAATAGGGGAGAAGGGGACAAGAGAGCAGGGGTGATAGAGAGGAGGTAATCAGAAATAAATACTTCAGAGGAGGGACAGGGTCAAAAGAAAGAATAGAATAAATGGCAGGGCAGGATAGGATTAAGGGAAATAGAGTTAGTTTTTCACAACATGTCTACTATGGACGTGTTTTGCATAACTGCACATGTACAACCTATATTGAGTTGCTTGCCTTTTCAATGAGGTGGGTGGGGAGGGAGGAAGGGAGAAAATTTGGAACTCAAAGTTTTAAAAACACATGTTTTTTAAAAAAATGTTTTCACATGCAACTGGGAAATAAGAAATACAGGAAATGGGGTACAGAAGTCTATCCTGCTCTACAGGAAAATAGAAGGGGAAGGGGATAAGAGAAGGGAAGGGGGAGAGATAGAAGAGAAGGCAGACCAGGGGAAGGGGTATTCAGAATGCATGCCGTCTTGGGATTGGGGGAGGGTGAGAAATTTGGAACTCAAAAACTTGTGGAAGTGAATATTGAAAACTAAAAATAAATTAAAAAAAAAGAGAAAAAACCTATTAGTGTGCTAGGAAACTCTATAAGTTGTAGAAAATGTTCTGACTCATAATGAATTTCCTCACTTATACCAACAAAATCATAGGTCCAGTCTTAAACTTAGTTATAACTTTACTAGAAAAAAAATCATAGATCTTTGAAGTATGTTACTTACAAAACAAATTGTACCCCCAGACGATAACATTAAGCACTCATGAGTTGATATTATGGGTGAGAGGCCAGGTATGGCTGATACAAATTATTCATTTAAAAGTTGGTTCTATCAGAGTTGAGAGTCCCTGGACTACTTAAATTTCTGTGAATGGTAATAATGGCAGGACTTCAGTAGGAATTTTGGAGAGCTGGGTCAAGTTTTGTGTGTATTTGAAAGCATACTATGGTAAGAAAAATATATAGGTTTCTTTTCTTTTTCTTAACTCTTTAAGAGAAGGGAAAACCTAGGTGCTAAAATTTTGATATTTGGGTCATAAAGGGTGAACACTCAAGTAGAAGAAAAAAAAATGTAGGGGAAGAAAGTTAAGATTTTGCATAGCCCTCTCTCACTCAAATCCAACTCAATTGCAAGTCATGACATCATCTTCCTGATGTCATGGTCCCCTTCGAGAACAAAGGACAAATCACAGCCACAACTTTACTATAGATGATCATCTAATTGCAGAAGAGAGGTAGTGTGTTAGAATAGGAATTCCACTGGTCTAGGAGCAAAGATGCCTGTAGACATCTGTGTATACTTACAGGGGTTCTCCTCAGGATTGGCTACCTCTTTCAGATCTCCTGCCTGCCATCCTCATTCTTTCCATTAAGGGAAGGAAGAAGCAGCAGCACAAATAGGGATACACCTTTGTCGACTCCCCTAGTGTTCCAAATTCTATTTATAATTCTAGGGTAGAATCTACAGTTGCTCTGCTGGCAAATTTCCATTAACAGAACATGTCACATCAATCCCTATTTGTATTGGCTCCCCAGTTCCGGTTCTATACTCTCTCCACTTTATATAAAAGCGGTACATCCGTACTTAATGAGTGAACTGTTATGCTTATTCTCATTAGCTCTACTTCTCAGGCCCAGTCCCATCTGGTTCATCCATCTCTTTGTCCACGAGATGAAATAATCACTTTATAATTAGCAGATTCCCCTATATCTTTGATTTTTTTTCTACAAACAATCCTTCCACTTTTACCTTAGTCAAAATTTGATTTTTTTCCTGAGGATACAACATCTCTTTTTACCCACTTGCCCAAAACTTTCTCCTTCATCTCTACCTGCCAGTTTTCTTCAGGTTTCAGCTAAAGTCTCCCTCTCTACCAGAAACCTTTCCAGATCTCACTTTATGCTGGTTAGTGCCTCCTCTCTATCATTTAACTTTAAATTATCCTATACACACGTTGTTTGTATGTAGTTGTTTGCATGTTGTCTCCCCATTAGACTGTAACCTCCTTGAGAGCAGAGACTTTTTTTTGTCTTTCTTTGTACTCTAGCACCTACAGCAGTGAATGCCTGTCACATAGTAGGCACATAATAAATGCTAGTTGACTGAATTTGGTTTTATTTGCTTCCATACGTAGCACTGAGCAAGGGAGTAGAGAGAAGAAAATAGAAGCAAGGGAATATTCAGAAGGAAAGGTATTCAACAGCATTAAAAACTGCAAAGATGTCCAGGAAATCAAAGAGATCATTGGGTTTAATTACTGAGTAAACATTGGTTACTTTAGAGAGCAAAGTTGTAGTTGAATGTGGGAAGTCAAAAGGTGGAGGTGGTGGCCTTTGCAAGCAAAAGGCCACATTTTCTTAAGAGATATTGGAGAAGAGGAATGAAAATACAGACAGGATAAAGGTAAAGAAGTAAGGAAAAAGAAAGCTCATAATGGATACTACAAATTTTTTTTTCCAACAAAAGAGAGTAGACACTTAGGGAAATTGAAGAGAGAAGAGATTTGTACAACCACTACAGATTGTAGGGCAGAAGAGACTAAAATCTTTTCCATGAATCAATGAATGTCAGTTGAGATCAAAGAACAGGAGTTTGCATGGACCAGGTAAGCACAGTGGCTTTATTTCTTCCACTGGCATTGTGACACCTTGTGAGTTTGAACAGAAATGGCAGAGGGTATATGACTCTTCATATAATCTGGTCCAAATCTTTTTTTTTGCTCTATTCTCCAACTGCACCCTCACCACTCCTCCTTCCTTGAATACACATGCTTTAAAAATATTTTTAATTTTTATTCTTATTTTGAATTCCAAATCTCCTCCCACCCTACCCATGGAGAAAGTATATATGGAGTAAGTAAATGTGATACCTATTATATATGTGAAATCTTACAAAACTTATTTCCATATTAGCCATGTTGCAACCACAAAAAAGCAAGAAAAATAAAATGAAAAAATACACTTCAATACGCAGAGTTTCAGTTGAGGTGGACAGCATTTTTCATCTTGAGTCCTTCTGAAGTGTCATGGGTCAATGTATTGATCAGAGTAGCTAAGTGTTTCACAGTTGATTATCATTGTAACATTGCTATTGCTATGTACACTGTTCTCCTAGTTGTGCTTACTTCACTTTGCATCAGTTTATATAAATCTTTCCAGGTTTTTCTGAAGCCATCCCCTTCATCATAATGATAGAACAACCACAGCCCCCCAGCTGATGGGCACACTCTCAATTTCCATTTCTTTGCCACCACAAAAAACTGCTATAAATTTTTTTTGTACATATGGGTCCTTTTTGTTTTTCTTTCATTTCTTAGGGGTACTGACCTAATAGTATTATTTCTGGGTCAAATGATATGCACAGGTTTATTATAGCCCTTTGGGCATAGTTCCAAATTGTTCTCTAGAGTGGTCGGACTAGTTCATAACTCCACCAACAGTGCATTAATCTATTTCCCTACAGCCCCTCCAGCATTTGTGATTTTCCTTTTCTGTCATGTTACCCAATCTGACAAATGGGAGATGGTATCTGAGAGTTGGAATACACACACTTTTAAGCAGATGTCTTAGCCTCCTATTTTATTGAGATGAAAGTTGTTAGTTGCAAGTTCTCTCTAGCCCCATCTATTCCTCAAAATTTCTCACCATCATCCCCAATTCTTTCATCCTTTCTCTTTGGCTAAAAAACATCTCTTTTCTCACTAAGATTAATCATGTTAACTATATCCTTAATTCCATTCCCTCCCACCTTTCCAGGGCTAGCTCTAATTGTCATTCCTCCTTTCTCAATGTTCAATTGCTTCCTTTCCACTGGCTTCTTCCCATTTGTCTACAAAATATGTTCAGGTCTCTGAAATCCTAAAAAACAAAAACAAAACAAAAGATTTCCCTTGACCTTTCAGGTCAAGTAGCTACTTTCCCCCCTATCTCTTTTCCCTTTCCCTCCTAAACTTCTCAGATGATACAATGCCCACACCCCCTAACTCCTCACTGTCTCCTCAATAGAGAACATTAATCACATCCTAATTATCAAACCCAATAGCTTGTAGTTTCCAACCTCATTAATCTTTCTCTGCTGCTTTCAACACAATTGTCCACTCTCTACTATTGTTTATTCTTTTCCCTTGGCTTCAGAAATGCCATATCGTGATGACATACAGGCTTCTGTAATATCTGCAAGTCTTTCTTGTTTCTTATTCTTATTTACCAAAATATTTTTTGCTGTCCTCCTCTAGGCTCAAATTTGTTTTCAAGTTGTCCAGGATTAGAGGGTTCCAGTATTTTTTTTGCTCTAGAGGGCTGTGATTTCACCATTATAGGTTAAGCTATAAGTTATAGGGTAACTTCTTCTACAATCAATACACCTGCTGTATAACATAGAGTCTTACGGACTTCCCACAATACCTAGAGGTTAACTTACCCAGGTTCTCACAGATAGCATGCTGCCAGAAGCAGGTCTCAAATTCAGGTTATGCCATTCTTAGGCTAGTTTTCTATCCGCTATTCTAGGCTGCTTCACATCAAAATTTATGTTGATTTATTTTGGAGGCTCTGATTGAGTTCTCAGTGGAATCTATTTCTTCAACTACAGCTAACAGTGCGTGAACTATAACAATTTGCATGGTTGTCTTTTTGTAGATTTTCAAAATGTTGTAATATACCAAGACAGCCAAATACCCCATGAAAGGATGTTTCCTGATGCTTTTAGGTATATTATTCAACCAATTTCACTTCCAAAGCTTACATCTCTCCATGGAGAACCTGGGAGATACCCCTTCTATTTATAAGAAGCTTCCATTTGTCATTGGTTTCATTGGTCAGTATGGAGTGATATTATGACGTGTGGCCTTCAATTCCTTTTGCAGTTTGTTTACTTGCTGGTCATTGGACAAGGATCTCACTCATCTTAAGAGGACCCACTAAATCTATTGCAGAGACCATCCCCATATCCTTCCCAGGATGGTAAAAACTCCTGGAGCTTGAGCTCCACAGACCTTTAAGAATCCAGTGTTGTCTCATTTGACTAGACCTGGGCTAGATTTGAAAATATTCATCTATTCATCTTCTATTTCTAGATTATTCAAACTATTGACAATGACTTTTAAAAATAAGAATAGAAAGTTTCAAGTCTCTTTCGTGCTTGTAATTGTCCTGCAATCCAAGATTTAAAAAAAAAAATGGGGGATGGCTCACCCACCTCTTGATCAGCAGGCCTCTTATATAATGTGATTAAGTACATTTGAACCTCAAGGTGAGAACTACCATTTGAAGCACTTTATTAAATTTATGTAGCTCAGGCCAGATTTATTAATGGATATTATTAGGGTTCCAAGTTTCTGATTCTCCTTCGGTGGATACAGACTTCAAAATATCAGAATTCAGAGAGTTTGTCCTCTTCTGGTAGCATTTGGGCACAAAATCTCACCCCCGATGAAGTGGATAGCAATTGAAAACGTATTTCCCCAAACAGTAAGCAAACCAAATAAGTTCACATGGAAATGTAAGGAGAGGAAAGAGGATGTTGGGGGTTATGTGTGAGGAGGGAGAGACTTGAACAGGGAAGTTGCTGATTAATTTGATAAGTTCTCTAATTATGGCTTTGAGGTTATAGGGCATAAGCATTTGTTTGGAACCATCTAAGGCGCATCTCCTTATTGAGGATGCCAATAGAGTTCTCTCCGTGATCTATAAAAATAAACTTATAGGCTTAGATTTCTTTGTGTTCCTGTGTGTTCAGCATATCAGGAATGGTTTTATGGGGAGGGAAACATGTGCTTCTTTAATCTCCTCCCCCAAAGACCTGAAAATAGCTGTGCTGAGAGAAAAAGCACATAGAAGTTTTTGCATGTACTTAGGCCAGAGAAATGAACCTTTCCAGCTCAAGAAACGGTAGCAGCCAGGACTCAGAGATTTTCTACAGAAGCACATGGGTGAAGCAGGAATGTGTATGCCCACTATGCCTGACAAAGGTGTTTTAGCTTTGAGGATAACTACTTGGGTAATGCCAAGTGTCAGAGTCTTAGAATTGGACCAGAGGAAAAAGGGGATGGTGGGGGTGGTTCCTGATACAGCATAATTCTTGGGAAAAGACCACCTGTATAATTCAGAGTACTTGGAGAACAAAGCCATCTACTTAGACAAGACAGATCTAATGACATGGAAGAGACTCTTGTTTAGCAGCCACAGTGCTTGACTTGGGGCAGGGGGAGAGTTTCAAATCACAGAGTGAAACTAGATGTCTAGGACAACCCCATGGTAAGGCAAAGAAGCCACTGGAATGTCAAAGGGTTCCAACAGTAGCACCTCCAAGTTTAATTACCTTTCAAGGGAGGTTGTTGGGTGGGTTAAAGTGCTTTATGTATTCCTGTACCTAT